ACAGTCACAGGTTTGCGTGCCAACCTGTGTGCTACCCCCTGCCTGGGGGGGGGGGGGGGTAGCACAAACAACAGGGCACTGGGCAACTATGGCCTTCATATGAAGCCATTGCACTGCTGTATGATATCTCTGATTTCCCTGATCTTCTATACACAATGTAAATGCAAACACCACATACAGTGCAGCTCTATATAACATGCAGCTCTAATTCCACAATGAAATCTATCCATGTCCTTCCTATATTGAGGCAGCCGACCAAGAAGGGTGCATAGCTGTGTTTACCTCTCCGGGGAGCCCCCAGCTTGGTGTGGGTGGATGTCTCTGTCTCAGATGCTGCGGATGGAAGAGCTGTAGAGAGAGATCAGTCAGCTAAGCCTAGCTAAGCCCATCCCTTCCTGTGTGAGCACCTGCTGTACATGTACACTGATCATACCGCTCATACTGACACAGGGGAACACACTGCCTGGCCTACTGGAACACAACACCACGAAACCAGGAAGGAAAGAAAGCCATGCCATCACCCAACACACCATTATATATATATAAGATCATGTCATCTGGTACCCAGCACTAAGGAGCCGGCCTACGCTCTTCTGTGCAGGGGAGAGATCTACAATTCTGGATGGCTCACTCACACTAATGATTAACTGCTAATGCTATCAGGGGGTACCACCAGTCCTCCTGTACGGGGCCCAGGACAGCAGGGGGGCCCAGGCAGCTGGATGAATTGTGAATCATATGTGGGTAGGGAGGGTGATCGGCACTGCGGGGGTCTCTCTCTGTAGCAGCTGAAAGCCAGTGGAAGGGAGATGACACCTCCAACTATGACTCTCTGCAGCAGCTGAAGGATGGCTTCTTCTCATCTCCATCCCACTGGCTTTCAGCTGCTGCAGAGAGAGCCATACAGGGGATCGGTTCCAGTAATCCCCCCCCCTCCACCCTGCTGCACCCATTGCCCTCCCTGTGCACCATACTTTTCCCCCTGCTGCCCAGGCCCCCCCTGTGTGCCCCAACCCCCACAGTGCTACCGACTTCCCTCCTCTCCTTTCCCCTGGCAGCTGCAAGCACATAGTACGATCCTTTAGGATGTGGGGGAAGGATCCGGTAAATATGTCACATTTACCAGCCCCTTCCTTTCCTGAATGAACACAACGAGTGATCGGTACCAAACTATGTTCATTCATAGCTGAAGCATAGTAAACTTTTTTTCTGGGAGGTTGGCTGTACAGGGCACTGTGGTTTCTAACAGCAGCCCTGAATGCTATATTCACACGTTTTCATGGGATTACACTAGCATTCTCAAAAATCGCTGCTTTTGTCCTCAATAGGTCCTATAGCTTAAAGTGGAGCCAGGGGCGGACTGACCATTCGAGCACTCGGGCTCTGCCCGAGGGCCTGGGGTCAGTAGGGGGTCCCATGAAATGCCCCTGTTACCTTTTTATAGGCTTTTTGTGGGTGTGCTTTGAGTGTGGGCAAAGACACAGGGGCCCCATGATCCCCTATTGCCCCATGAGTTGTCAGTCCGACCCTGAGCGGAGCTTCACCCAAAAGGGGAAGTTCCGCTTTAAGCCTTTGTCCTCCGCCCCCATTAAGGATTGGCACCTTTGGGGAGCGGGTACCCGCTCTCACTTCCGCTGCGATCGCCTAGGTAATCGGAAGCAAAAGTTGTCCTCCCCCCTCCCTCCCCGCAGTCTCCTGGGACATGTGACAGGTCCCAGAAGACTACAGGGCCATTTGCAAAGCTCAGCGCTTCTCACGCATGCGCAGGGGGCACCCTGCTGTGAAGCTGCAAGCTGTCACAGCCGGGTGCCCACACTAAAGATGCCGGCGCCAGGGAGAGAAGACGGCCGGTGAAACCAGCCATGGTGAAGTCACCTCTACACCGAGGGATGGCTAAGTGGCTGTATTTTAAAAGTCAGCAGCTACAGTTTTTGTAGCTGCTGAATTTTATTTATTTTTGTTTTTAGGTGGAACTCCGCTTTAAGCTGATGCATGAAAAAACATAGATCGTCAATGCACCGCACGGTGGTGAACAAGCAGCATTTGAAACAATTGCTAACATTAGAACATACGTTGATGTGTGTTAAAATGCACAGGCGTGAATGGGCCCTAAGAATAACAATCCATTTCTAAACATGTGGAATAAATGATTAATATTCATTTCCATGTGCAATCATTAGCAGTCAGTTTTCAAAGTCTTCATTAGATAAGTTTATGGGGTTGATTTACTGAAACTGGAGAGAGCAAAATCTGATGGAGCTATGCACAGTAGCAGGGGTGGACTGACAACTCATGGAGTCCCCGGGCAATAGGGGATCATGGGGCCCCTGTGCCCTTGCCCAAACTCAAAAAAGCCTATGAAAAAGGTACCAGGGGCATCAATACTGACCCTGGGCCCTCGGGCAGTGCCCGAGTTTCCAAATGGTCAGTCCGCCCCTGCACGGTAGCCAATCTGCTTCTAGTTTCAGCTTGTTCAATTAAGCTTTGGCAATAAAACCTGGAAGCTGATTGGTTTCTATGAAGAGCTGCCCCAGATTGTGCACTCTCCAGTTTTAGTAAATCAACCCCAAATGTTTGTTTTGTTATTTTACCAGATATTCCTCATACCACTTATATTATGCATTTATGGCAAAATAAAGTATGTTAGCATTATCATTATCACAATTTGTGTTATTATTGTTATTTTTATTAAATATGTTTTTAACAAAGCAGCACTTTTTAAAATGTATTTAATCCAGAGATTTTACCAAATCATACAAAATATTTGTTACAGTTTATATATTATTATTATTATACAGTATTTTATAAAACGCCAATAGTTCACTCAGCGCTGTATATACCCTATGGTCTTTTATCTTATTTTACTATAATGTTTCAATACACTTTACTGATGAAGTGGCCTGCAGAAGTCATGAAACGTGGTGATGGTGTTACATTTTATCATATGATATGAAGATATGATCATATTTAATCCAGATATTTTACCAAACCATACCAAATATTCACTACACTTTATGTATACCCTATGGTCTTTTCTCTTATTTTACTATAATGTCTCAATACGCCTTCCTGATGAAGTGGCCTGCATAAGCCAATGAAACACGTTGATGGTGTTACATTTTATTATATGATCAATAAAGACCCTGAATTTTAAACAGGAACATTTCAAGCATCTCCTCCTCAGGCACCTCTGCTACTTGCACTATACATTTTTTCGGGCTATGCTCCTTCGCCTTTATATTAAATAAATGGCTTGCTAGCACTAGAGCTACATATATGACTTTTAATTGCACGTCTAAGAAAAACCAAATGATCATTTATGCCACTCAAATGTGCATGTTTGTGCTTGAACATTTGCAATTTTTATTTGGGCACTTACCCACTATTATAAGGGCCATTCACAACAGTGCACTGTGGTAAAAGGCCTGTGCTATTGCAATGCATGGTAATTCATCAAGCTCAGTATGATACTTTGTGGTGCCATTCCCACTGGGCAGCTATGGGCACACCATAAACCTACACAACACAAGGATGTAAAGCATCTGTATCCGTGGTACACTTTGTTGAAAAATTGGTGCATGTCTGGTTTTGATGAGTTGCCAATCAAAATTATTGGGTTGCTTAAAGTGTTACTAAGCCCATGCCCCTGCATCCACTATATCTGGTCTCTCACAGTACACACAACATGGAAGTTCAATTATTTTAGTAAATATAAACTGCTAAATACCTTTTCTCATCAGCAGTTAGAGCAGTCTTGTGACTTTTATCAGTGTTCAGCAGAGCACAGGTTAAAGCGTGTAGGAGGAGTTTTCTTTCTGCTCTAGGAGGATGCAGAACCCTTGAGCTCTGTCTGGACAGTGCTGATTTGCCAGGTGCTCATCACATGCAGTTTCCCAAGAAAAAAACCTCTCTATCAATACATACCAAACTGAGCATGTACAGAGTGTCTCCACATGATATGTCTTATCAGGAGATAAGAGGGGGACACTGGAAGAAGGGGAGGATCAGAGAACACAGGATCAAACAGCGTTTTTACATAATGTGGATTAACCCCTTAGGTTCCACAGTGAGTATAACAAGAATGCTTTACTTCATATACAGACTGATTTTACTGTTGTGGGTTTAGTAACACTTTAAGGCAACATACATTAAACATAATACTGCATGTTAGGCATGTGTGTGTTAGTGCAAAACACAGGTATGAACAAGCCCTAAAAGGCCTGTTAAAAAAGGATTTTTACTTTTTGTTCTCTAAGGCTTCATGCACATGACCGTACAGGGACCATGCAGTGTCCAGAACCTGACTAATCACTGTCCTAGTACCTGCCCTGCAACTATCCGTGTTTATGTGCTGGGGGTTGCATGGAGCGCGCACGCGCACACACACACGTACAGTGAGGAACAGAAGTATTTGAACACCCTGTGATTTTGCAAGTTCTCCTACTTAGAAATCATGGAGGGGTCTGAAATTCACATTGTAGGTATTCCCACTCTGAGAGAAAAATTCAGGAAATCACATTGTAGGATTTTTAAAGAATTTATTTGTCTTGCACCGCTGAACATAAGTATTTGAACACTGGCTCTCAAAGACCTGTTCCTGTGCCTTTAAAACAGCGGTTCTCAACCTGGGGGTCGCGACCCCTTTGGGGGTCGAACGACCATTTCCCAGGGGTCGCCTAAGACCATCGGAAAACACATATTTCCGATGGTCTTAGGAACCGAGACACCGCTCCTCTGACTCAGTCGATGTGTGGGCGGGATGACACGCTGCCCTGTCACCTGGCCACACCTCCGGGATCCCTCAACAACTCCGCCTCCTCGCCGCTGATTGGCCACCGGAACTGTAGCTCAGGAGAGGCACACAGGCGGCCAATCACCGGCGAGGAGGTGGAGCTTGGAGGGGAGGAGCCGAGCGGCAGCGCGCGTAGATCTAAGAAGATCGAGGGAACTGCCGGAGTAAGTGAAGAGGAGAGCGGCCAGAGAAGGAAGACAGCTGACAGGTAAGTGAGAGAGCGAGCCCAGGCTGGAGCAGGGGTCAGCAAGGTAAGTATCATTGGTGTCAGTGGGAGGAATAGTGCCCCATCATTTGTGTGACTAATACCAACAATGGGGCACTATTTCTCCCACTGACACCAATGATGGGGCACTATTTCCTCCCCCCCCCCGCACTGACACCAATGATGGGGCACTATTCCTCCCCCCCACTGACACCAACGATGGGGCACTATTCCTCCCCCCCACTGACACCAACGATGGGGCACTATTCCTCCCCCCCACTGACACCAAGAATGGGGCACTATTCCTCCCCCCACCGACACCAACGATGGGGCACTATTCCCCCCCCCTGACCCCAAAGATGGGGCACTATTTCCCCCTCCACCACACTGACATCAATGATGGGGCACTATTCCTCCCACTGACACCAATGATGGGGCACTATTCCTCCCACTGACACCAATGATGGGGCACTATTCCCCCCACTGACACCAATGATGGGGCACTATTCCCCCCACTGACACCAATGATGGGGCACTATTCCCCCCACTGACACCAATGATGGGGCACTATTCCCCCCACTGACACCAATGATGGGGCACTATTCCCCCCACTGACACCAATGATGGGGCACTATTCCCCCCACTGACACCAATGATGGGGCTCTATTCCCCCCACTGACACCAATGATGGGGCACTATTCCCCCCACTGACACCAATGATGGGGCACTATTCCCCCCACTGACACCAATGATGGGGCACTATTCCCCCCACTGACACCAATGATGGGGCACTATTCCTCCCCACTGACACCAATGATGGGGCACTATTCCCCCCACTGACACCAATGATGGGGCACTATTTCCCCCCACTGACACCAATGATGGGGCACTATTCCCCCCACTGACACCAATGATGGGGCACTATTCCCCCCAATGACACCAATGATGGGGCACTATTCCTCCCACTGACACCAATGATGGGGCACTATTCCTCCCACTGACACCAATGATGGGGCACTATTCCCCCCACTGACACCAATGATGGGGCACTATTCCCCCACTGACACCAATGATGGGGCACTATTCCTCCCACTGACACCAATGATGGGGCACTATTCCCCCCACTGACACCAATGATGGGGCACTATTCCCCCCACTGACACCAATGATGGGGCACTATTCCCCCCACTGACACCAATGATGGGGCACTATTCCCCCACTGACACCAATGATGGGGCACTATTCCCCCACTGACACCAATGATGGGGCACTATTCCCCCCACTGACACCAATGTTGGGGCACTATTCCCCCCACTAACACCAATGTTGGGGCTCTATTCCTCCCACTGACACCAACGATGGGGCACTATTCCCCCCACTGACACCAACGATGGGGCACTATTCCCCCCAATGACACCAACGATGGGGCACTATTCCTCCCAATGACACCAACGATGGGGCACTATTCCCCCCACTGACACCAACGATGGGGCACTATTCCCCCCACTGACACCAATGATGGGGCACTATTCCCCTCACTGACACCAACGATGGGGCACTATTCCCCCCACTGACACCAACGATGGGGCACTATTCCCCCCACTGACACCAACGATGGGGCACTATTCCCCCCACTGACACCAACGATGGGGCACTATTCCCCCCACTGACACCAACGATGGGGCACTATTCCCCCCACTGACACCAACGATGGGGCACTATTCCTCCCACTGACACCAACGATGGGGCACTATTCCCCCCACTGACACCAACGATGGGGCACTATTCCCCCCAATGACACCAACGATGGGGCACTATTCCCCCAATGACACCAACGATGGGGCACTATTCCTCCCAATGACACCAACGATGGGGCACTATTCCCCCCACTGACACCAACGATGGGGCACTATTCCCCCCACTGACACCAACGATGGAGCACTATTCCCCCCACTGACACCAACGATGGGGCACTATTCCCCCCACTGACACCAACGATGGGGCACTATTCCCCCCACTGACACCAACGATGGGGCACTATTCCCCCCACTGACACCAACGATGGGGCACTATTCCCCCCACTGACACCAACGATGGGGCACTATTCCCCCCACTGACACCAACGATGGGGCACTATTTCCCCCCCACTGACACCAAGAATGGGGCACTATTCCTCCCCCCACCGACACCAACGATGGGGCACTATTCCCCCCCCTGACCCCAAAGATGGGGCACTATTTCCCCCTCCACCACACTGACATCAATGATGGGGCACTATTCCTCCCACTGACACCAATGATGGGGCACTATTCCTCCCACTGACACCAATGATGGGGCACTATTCCCCCCACTGACACCAATGATGGGGCACTATTCCCCCCACTGACACCAATGATGGGGCACTATTCCCCCCACTGACACCAATGATGGGGCACTATTCCCCCCACTGACACCAATGATGGGGCACTATTCCCCCCACTGACACCAATGATGGGGCACTATTCCCCCCACTGACACCAATGATGGGGCTCTATTCCCCCCACTGACACCAATGATGGGGCACTATTCCCCCCACTGACACCAATGATGGGGCACTATTCCCCCCACTGACACCAATGATGGGGCACTATTCCCCCCACTGACACCAATGATGGGGCACTATTCCTCCCACTGACACCAATGATGGGGCACTATTCCCCCCACTGACACCAATGATGGGGCACTATTTCCCCCCACTGACACCAATGATGGGGCACTATTCCCCCCACTGACACCAATGATGGGGCACTATTCCCCCCAATGACACCAATGATGGGGCACTATTCCTCCCACTGACACCAATGATGGGGCACTATTCCTCCCACTGACACCAATGATGGGGCACTATTCCTCCCACTGACACCAATGATGGGGCACTATTCCTCCCACTGACACCAATGATGGGGCACTATTCCTCCCACTGACACCAATGATGGGGCACTATTCCTCCCACTGACACCAATGATGGGGCACTATTCCTCCCACTGACACCAATGATGGGGCACTATTCCCCCACTGACACCAATGATGGGGCACTATTCCCCCACTGACACCAATGATGGGGCACTATTCCCCAACTGACACCAATGATGGGGCACTATTCCCCCACTGACACCAATGTTGGGGCACTATTCCCCCCACTGACACCAATGTTGGGGCTCTATTCCTCCCACTGACACCAACGATGGGGCACTATTCCCCCCACTGACACCAACGATGGGGCACTATTCCCCCCAATGACACCAACGATGGGGCACTATTCCTCCCAATGACACCAACGATGGGGCACTATTCCCCCCACTGACACCAACGATGGGGCACTATTCCCCCCACTGACACCAACGATGGGGCACTATTCCCCTCACTGACACCAACGATGGGGCACTATTCCCCACTGACACCAACGATGGGGCACTATTCCCCCCACTGACACCAACGATGGGGCACTATTCCCCCCACTGACACCAACGATGGGGCACTATTCCCCCCACTGACACCAACGATGGGGCACTATTCCCCCCACTGACACCAACGATGGGGCACTATTCCTCCCACTGACACCAACGATGGGGCACTATTCCCCCCACTGACACCAACGATGGGGCACTATTCCCCCCAATGACACCAACGATGGGGCACTATTCCTCCCAATGACACCAACGATGGGGCACTATTCCTCCCAATGACACCAACGATGGGGCACTATTCCCCCCACTGACACCAACGATGGGGCACTATTCCCCCCACTGACACCAACGATGGAGCACTATTCCCCCCACTGACACCAACGATGGGGCACTATTCCCCCCACTGACACCAACGATGGGGCACTATTCCCCCCACTGACACCAACGATGGGGCACTATTCCCCCCACTGACACCAACGATGGGGCACTATTCCCCCCACTGACACCAACGATGGGGCACTATTCCCCCCACTGACACCAACGATGGGGCACTATTCCCCCCACTGACACCAACGATGGGGCACTATTCCTCCCACTGACACCAACGATGGGGCACTATTCCTCCCACTGACATCAGTGATGGGGCACTACTCCTTCCACTGACACCAATGATGTGGCACTAGTCCTCCCACTGCAAAATTACAGTTATGAAGTAGCAACGAAAATAATTTTATGGTTGGGGGTCACCACAACATGAGGAACTGTATTAAGGGGTCGCGGCATTAGAAAGGTTGAGAACCACTGCTTTAAAAAGTCCACCTCTACTCCACTCATTAATCTAACTTAGTAGTACCTGTCTGAGCTCTTTAAAGACACCTGTCCACCCCACAGTCAGTCAGACGCCAACTACTACTACCATGGAAAAGACCAAAGAGCTGTCAGAAGACACCAGAGACAAAATTGTGGACCTCCACAAGGCTGGAAAGGGCTACGGAGCAATTACCAAGCAGCTTGGTGAAAATAGATCAACTGTTGGAGCAATTGTTAGAAAATGGAAGAGGCTAAAGACGACTGTCAGTCTCCCTCGGACTGGGGCTGCATGGAAGATCTCACCTCGTGGGGTATCACTGATGATAAGAAAGGTAAGGAATCAACCCAGAACTACAAGGGAGGAGCTGGTCAATGACATGAAGAGAGCTGGGACCACAGTGACCACTGTTTCAAAGGTCACTGTTGGTAGAACACTACGCCGTCATGGTTTCAAATCATGCATTGCACGGAAGGTTCCCCTGCTCAAGTCATCACATGGCCAGGCCCGTCTGAAGTTTGCCAGTGACCATCTGGATGATCCAGAGGAGGCATGGGAGAAAGTCATGTGGTCAGATGAGACCAAAGTAGAACTTTTTGGTCTAAACTTCACTCGTCGTGTTTGGAGGAAAAAGAAGGATGAGTTGCATCCCAAGAACACCATCCCTACTGTGAAGCATGGGGGTGGTAACATCATGCTTTGGGGGTGCTTTTCTGCGAAGGGTACTGGACGAGTGCACTGTATTAAGGAGAGGATGAATGGGGCCATTTATTGTGAGATTTTGAGCAACAACCTCCTTCCCTCAGTCAGAGCATTGA